AGGCAGGCAGGAAGGGGGGCAGGCAGGCAGGCAGGCAGGAAGGAAGGAAGGAAGGCAGGCAGGCAGGAAGGGGGCAGGCAGGCAGGCAGGCAGGCAGGCAGGCAGGCAGGAAGGAAGGAAGGGGGGCAGGCAAGCCTGTGCCTCTTCCCTGTGTTTGGGAGGAGTGAAGCTCCTTGGCTATGGTCTCCCCTCCCCGCGCCCCCCCTCGCCAGTCACAGCCGTCCTTCCCCAAATACTTCCCTGAATCTCTCTCACCATCTGCTCGGGCCTGAGAATAATTCTGTGTGAAATCACCCCGCCAGCCTGGCCAGCTTTGTGCTGGCCCGGGCCTGGGGTGCGGCCCCGGGCCTGGGGTGCGGCCCCAGCCCTGTGTAGGGCCAGGACCAGCTCCCGGGGGGGAGGTGAGGGGGGGCATGGCCACGTCCAGCGGGGGCCGGAGCGCTGCCGGTGCCGGGGAGAGCCTTCGGAGCTGGGCAGGGCACGCGGGCTTGCTTGAGGCCCTGCAGCCTCCCCTGACCCCACAGGTGATCGAGCAAGGCCCCGTGGACCCCGTGGACCCCGTGGGCCCCTGGCTGCACCTGGGCGGGGCCAGTGCGAAGCCCGCCCCAGGGGACAGGTCACGGAGGGTTAGGGGTGCAGCTGCCGACTGCGTCCTCTGCGGAGCTCCGCCCAGCTCTGCACCCCCCCCCAGAACCGGCCGTGCCCTCAGCCCGCTTCCCATGCGGGGACCACGGGGCAGCCCCATCCAGTCACAGTGGTCAGCAGGAGGCCAGGCCGCCTGCTCCAGCCCACCGCCCTGAGCACGGAGCCCAGGCAGGGGGTGGGGGAGGCCCAGGCCACCCTGTGCCCTGTGGGCCCGCGGGGACGAGTGCCTCCAGACCCTGGGGTGCCCGGCGGCCCCGCCCGAGGGCTGCCGCTCTGGAGAGCCTCGGTCTCTTGTCATTTTCCAGCCGTCTTCCCACGGCCTCCCTTTCCTGCAGACCCGGCTCCAGTGCCGGGGCGGGGGTGGGCCCTGGACCCACAGTGGGGAGCCCCAGGCCAGGCTGGGGTCATGTCCCCACCCCTGGCCCGCAGAGAGGCTTGTGGGCGTGTGGTGAGGGGGCCGGGGCTCCTGCGGTTCCAGGACCCCGCAGAAGCGGCCCTGACCCGGCCCTGGACAGGGCCCCCGTCCGCACCCTGCTCCGGTCTGGAGTGCGGGGCAGTGTCTCCCCAGGACACCTCTGGGGGTTGCTTAGCAAATGGCAGGGGCTCGGGCTCCGACGTGGTGATGGCCCCCGGTGCCCGCGTGCTGTGGGCCGTGCCCCCTGGCCCACCGCTGTGTCGGCCCAGCTCCAGGTCCACAGCGCACATTCGAATTCAGCCCCAAAACAAACTCCCGAAGCCTCGCAGCCCGCCGGCCCTGGAGAGGGCAGTGCCGGGAGAGGCCAGCGGCAGGGACTGGCCCTGCAGGCCGGGTCAGTGCGGGTGCCCATGTGAGCCAGCGGGGCCTGTGACTCCTGTCCACCCCAGCAACTACCCGGCGCTGCTGGGCCCGTGACTCAGTTTCCCTGTCTGTCGTCCCCAGCAACTACCCTGCGCTGCTGGGCCCATGACTCCGTTTCCTGGCCTGTCCACCCCAGCAGCTACCCGGCGCTGCTGGGCCCGTGACTCAGTTTCCCAGCCTGTCCACCCCAGCAGCTACCCGGTGCTGCTGGGCCTGTGACTCAGTTTCCCTGTCTGTCGTCCCCAGCAACTACCCCGCGCTGCTGGGCGTGTGGATCTACGGCTTCCTTGTGCTCACGCTGCTGATCCTGGACCTCCTGTATTACTCGGCGATGAACTACGACTTCTGCAAAGGCTACCTGGTGCGGTGGGGTGTCCACGGGCGGTGGATGAAACAGGACCCCCGGCGGTGGGGGGCCCCCGCCCAGGCCCCGCAGCCCCAGCCCCCGCCAGGCTCCCGGCTGCAGCCCCCCCAGGCCGCGCCCGCGCCTGGGCACAGCCCACCGCTGATGACCTTCCAGAGCTCGTCCGCCTGGTGAGTGACCCCCACCGCCCTGTCTGCTTGTCTGCGTCACCCCATGATTGTGCGTGCTCATTTCTTTTCTGGCCAAGGATGAGTAGAAGTGGCTCATGGGCCGAGGAAGGAGAGGCAGAAGGAGAGCAGGGAGGAGGAAGGCCTGCACGCTTGTACTGACAGCCGCAGCTTGAGCGAGCGTTATGTGCTGAGTTTCCTAGCAGCCAGGGTGAAAGGAGGGACTGGCTGGTGCTTCAAGTTTCACGGTCTGGCCCAGGGAAAGAATCAGCGTGTCTGGGGCTGGGAAGACGGCGTGGTGAGGTCAGAAAGACTCATCTTCTGTGGACTGTCTTGTTGCCTTAAGGGCCCCTGAGCTGAGTGCTGTGGGAGGCGGAGAAGGAGGAGGGAGGTGATGTTTGGGGACCATCTTGTAGGGTGGCTGTGACCACAGGGCCCGGTGCCCTGCGGGGACATCAGGACCCCAAACCAGGCTTAGGGCCCCAGGGCCCTGCCGCCAGCCAGGCTCTGCCCCAACCCCAGCGCCGCCACATCTCAGCTCTGTCCAGATCCTGGCGGAGAGTCAGGGGCACAGCCCCCTGGCTGGGCATGCACCACAGGGGCGCACTAACACACTTCAGCCCTGGTCAGTAATGAGTGAGCCGGCTGGAGTGCAAAGAGGGAGGGAGCGGGCCTGCTTCCTGCCCAGTGCGGGCCGGGGAGGGGCGGCGCTGCCTGGGAAGGCAACAGGAGCCCCAGGAAAGCCGTGGGGGTCCAGTGGGGGGGAGCGGTGCTGCAGGAAAGCCCCAGGACCATCCCACGGCGGGGGTCCAGCGGGCCGGGGAGGGGCAGCACTGCAGGAAAGCCAGACCATCCCATGGCGGGGATCCAGCGGGCCGGGGAGGGGCAGCACTGCAGGAAAGCCCCAGGACCATCCCACGGCGGGGGTCCAGCGGGCCGGGGAGGGGCAGCACTGCAGGAA